TACCTCAAGGCATCTGCTCATATCCATACAGTACCCTGCAGCAGCAGCAGCAGCAGCAGCAACAGCAGCAGGGTTATACCCCAACAGATATGTGAAGCAGCAGCAGCAGCAGCAGCAGCAGCAGCAGCAACAGCAGCAGCAACAGCAACAGCAACAGCAGCAGCAACAGCCTAAGGAACAGTACATATGCAACACCTTACCTTGTGCCTGCAGCCAAGACGCCTCATCAGGCTCGGCCTGCAGCAGCAGCAGCAACAGCAGCAGCAATGACAGTTCTAGCAGCAGCGCAGCTGAGGCAACAGCAACAGCAGCAACAGCAGCAACTGCAGCAAGAGCAGCAGCAGCAGCAGCAGCAGCAGTGCCTTACCATCAGCTCTTTATGGATTAACTCAACACAACCACGGAAACGAGCAGACGCCTCTCCATACCTGCACAGCAGCAGCAGCAGCAGCAGCAGCAGCAGCAGCAACAGCAGCAGCAGCAAGGTCAATTGCAGCAGCAACAACAAGTGCACCACCAGCAGCAATAAGAGCAACTGCAGCAGCAGCAGCAGCAGCAGCAGCAGGAGGAAGCTGACCGTTCTGCCCATCCTTGTGCGTCTCTCTCCATGAGTGCAGGTGCTGCTGCCTTAATATCAGCAGCAGCAGCAGCAGCAGCAGCATTAGCAGCAGCAGCAGCAATAGTACGTAGATTATCTATATGCAGCAGCTGCTGCTGCTGCCAATTAGTATTTGCTGCTGCTATTGCTGCTCTTGGTTTATCTTTCTTAATAGTAAGAGGTGCCCCCCTCCATGTGCCTATACACCCCACGCTGCTGCTGCTGCTGCTGCTGCTGCTGCTGCTACTTGCAGTAGCAGCAATCTGTTTGGTGTTGACCCCACCTTGCTTCCCACCCTTCTGCTGCTGCTGCTGCAGGTGCTGCTGCTGCTGCTGCGCAGCAGCACGTATATCCCCCGTATGGAAGGCACAGAGGCGCAGCAAGGGATCTATTGCCTCTAATCTATTTTTATATAAATTCTCCATGTCTTGCTGCGTGCTGCTGAGATGCTTGAGCTGTATATACAGCTGCTGCAGTTGCTGCAGTGTTGCTGCTGCTGCTGCCCATTGCTCCTTCTCTTGCTGCAGTACAGCCTCCATATAACAACGATATGCTGCTGCATCTAGACATGTCTTACCATCACATAGTGTATTCCCTCCTTCTTCTTCTTCTTCTTCTTCCTCCTCTGCTGCTGCTGCTGTTGCTGCTGTTGCTGCTGTTGTTGCTGCTGTTTTATTGTCCATATCTTCATTATCTGTGTTTTCTGCTGCTGCTGCAGCAGCAGCAGCAGCAGCAGCAGAATGTCTACTCCCCTTACATAATGCCTCTAGTTGACGGGCATAAGACACAGCCTTAGAGAAACGACGAATTGCATGCGCACGCAGCTTCGCATTCTGCAGCAGCAGCAGCAGCAGCAGCAGCAGCAAATGATGCAGGATAGATGCAGCAAATAAAGTAGTAATATACAAACAACAACAACAACAGCAGCAGCAGCAGCAACAGCAGCAGGAGCTTACTGGTGTCACAGAATTAGCATTATCTGTCTTAAGTTGCATGCCATATGCCCAAGCCCGTTCTGCCTGCAGCAGCAGCAGCAGCAAATACCTGCAGCAGCAGCAGCAGCAGCAGCAGCAGCAAAAGCAGCAGCAATATAAATATAGATAAATATATGCAATAAATACATCAAATAAAAGGAAAAAGAGGAAATATAACAGAATAAATAAAATAAATAAAATAAAATAAATAAAATAAATAAATAAATAAAAATAAATAAAAATAAATAAAAATAAATAAAAATAAATAAAAAGAATAAAATCAACAGACATATAAATATAAATATAAATATGAATAAAATAGATAAAAAGATAGGAAAAAAAAAAAGAATAAATAAATAAATAAAAATAAATAGAAATAAATAAATACCTATAATCATGAATAAATAAAGGAAAAGGTTTATAAATAGATTTATATTTTTTATGATAATTATAATAAATAAATAATTCATTTTTAATTTTTTTGATTTTTTTTTTCATTTTTCGTCGAAATTCGTCGAAATTTGAAAATTTCAAATTAAATGAATTTCGAAATTTATTTATTATTAATTCTATTTCTAACGATAATTGTGGAGCTGCTGCTGCTGCTGCTGCTGCTGCTGCTGCTGCTGCTGCTGCTGCTGGTGCTGCTGGTGCTGCTTCTGGTGGTGCTGTTGATGGGGGTGGTGCTGTTGATGGGGGTGGTGCTGTTGATGGTGATGGGGATGGGGATGGGGAGGGAGAGGGAGAGGAAGGGGAATGATGAGGGGAATGGCTATCCCCTATGCTAATAGATAATGATGATGATGTTGTTTGGGGCATTTCCTTTTGTTGTTGTTGTTGTTGCTGCTGTTGTTGCTGTTGTTGCTGCTGTTGTTGTTGTTGCTGCTGTTGTTGTTGTTGCTGTTGTTGTTGTTGTTGTTGGGGAGGA